TGAAAGTCAACGAGAGGTTTGTGACGAACCTAGAAAAACTTGGCATAATCATGCAAACATAAATCAGATTGATTTTCCAATGACTAATTCAGTAGAACCAAAATTCTTTCCTTTGCAACATCATAGCATCAATACAAGTCAGGGAAAGGGGAAACTGCAAAGTATTCATTTGGGACTCACTTGAGGTATTGAAGGGTCATATTCTTCAGAAGGGATGGATGTCGAAGAACAAGGCTTCTCCACTCTTCCTTGTCAATCCTCCCGTCATGTTTCGTGTCGGCTTCCTCAAAGGTCTGCAACAGGGCTCCAAGGTATTTTAGAATTTCAAACTTCTCCAAAAAGGAGTAGCTAGGGACATTATGCAACTGGCTTGTTAACACCTTTAATTAACCAATTTCTATAAAGACTTGGATTGATATCAAATTGAAGGAAGGGAAGGCACCTTGTCAATTATACTCTCTATCACATCATCCGAAAGGTTCATTCCAGATTCAGCAAGTGTAGCTACGACCATTTGTTTTACCTGCATATACAAATAATATTTAAGTCTGTAAGAATGTTCAGAATAATAAAAACACAGGATAAGAAATAGTATACTCAGAAAAAAGAAAATCACCTCCTGTCTCTCAATGAAACCTTGCTGCTTGAGATCATAGAGTTGAAAAGAAACTGCAACAAAACATTACACGAGCTAACACACATAAGCACCAAAAATTATATTAAAAATAAGTTCAAAGTTCATGAGTTTAGTTTGTCTTATAGCATATTCATAAACATAATATACAACTCCATTACACCAGAAACATTCCGTCATGGGACTAAAATATGTGCTCAATGAGGTAATACAATTTACAGGAGAAAGAAATTGCCAATTCCAAACATACATTCAATCTTATCCTCTATTGGTGCGTTGGGATGAAAAACAGAGAGTGCTCGAGCAAACTCTTCGAATCCTAGTATCCCATTGTGCTTTGTATCAAATAAATCAAAAACCTGCAATGCAATAGCAGACAGGTGAAGCTTCAGATCATAGATAAAAGGAACAAGTAAAAGAGACTTTTACAATTAGACCATTTCCAAATGAAAGTACCCGATCAGCAAACAAGCTCTCTTTTTTATTTGTCTTGAATAATGCCAATTGAAACTCCTCCTATCACATTTTAAAGAGAAAAGAAAATCAAGAAACCAAAATGGAATGAGCAAAAGCATCTGTTATCAGACAAAAAGAAGAATCATCAGATCACAAGAACATAAACAGACCTTGTTAATTAGCCCATCATCAATCACTGCACTACTGATTTTCTTGAAGAGCTCATAAAGGGCCTCAATTTCACTCACAGTGACTGCATCCAAGTGAGCAAACGAACAATTTTCAGCAGTATTATTATTCAATTGTTCTTCAAGAAACAAAAGGTAAATCACCAAAATGAAACCAAATCAAACAACAGATATAAGCTATATTTCTTTCATATGTTAGGTGGGGTTTCCTTCGAATGTTAATGTTATTGAATATAAATTGGAATGCAATACAAGTTATAACAAGTCCACTCAATTCCAAGCTTAACTCAAGTTAGATGTTTTTGTAACCCAGTAGAATTAAGGATATAAGTGGAGTTAATTAATCATCCATCAAATATGCAAATTGTAAATAAACTCTATGCATCAAATGATAAAGATCTGGAATAAAACAAGAATAGAATACACTTATACCAAACAGGGAATAGATGATTTTGGTTTCCAGGCTTATTTAAACCTATTCAAAGCTTGCGGGAAAAGTTGAGAAAAAAACAGAACCACAGAAGGACAAGGATTTAACTGATCAATATTATGTAAAAAGCGAAAGAATAGTCCGCTCTGTGCTCACCACACAGCTCCGTTTTTACTGATCAATATTATTTAGGAATCATATCTTATCAAAGAAAATATCAATAGAATCTATAACTTGATAACATACAAACTGTCTCTCGCGCAAGTATTTCAGGATCTTCTAGGCCTCTTGATTGCTTGTACAAATCAATATCACAACACCGCAGAAGGGAAGCAAATAAATGCTTTAATCCCTCTATGCACTGCAACATGATATTTCCAGGACATCAAAACACTCCATACCTACACAAAAGAATGGATAAGAAGTTTTAGCCTCGTTACTCCGCATAATAAAAGCAACATAGGTTGAAAAAAGAAAGTGTATGACCTGTTAACCATTTCCTGTTTCAGCTGAACCAACACCAAATTCCAAGTTCAGTGTGAACAGAAACAACCAAGACTACCTGTGACAACCTGATAGAAGAATAGATAAGAACTTGATCATCAATAAAAGCAAAAACGTGTACATAAAAACAAAAATAGCAATAATGTTATGCAGGTAGCCTATCAATTGCTTAGATTCAATTGGCTACTGCATGCATTCCGTATTTGGAAACAAAATGCAAATAAAAGAACAAGGGAACCAATGCAGTGAAAAGCATTTTTAAAGGCTACAAATAAATAAACGAACTTAGAGATTGCTGAGAATTCAGCTATCAAATTTGTTCTCAACCTGTTTGATTGAAAGTGTCTGTTGTATGGAATGGTAGGAAAGCTCAGTCTACCCTCCCATATGTCAAAAAAGAAAAGATAGGAATCGAACAACTAGTGTTATTGTCTGAAGCAAACTGATCACCAAACATGTCATACGCACACATTAAAAAAAGGATAACCTCCTCAGCTGAATATCATCCTAATTGAATACGTTAACTAAGCATCATTTGTTCCGCTTATTATGAACAGTATAATGAACAAAACTGTGGGTCTAAGGCATTATAGGACGGTAGCAAGCAACCCTTCCCTGGGGAAAAGGAAGAAAAATTTGAAGGTTCTCTGCCAGGGACAAAGAAAGAAGTGGTTTCAAGAGATAGGTTGAAGCTGAAGAGCCTGTCAGTGATTAAAATGCAGGAAATAACAACTAAGACTTTAACATGATTCCCCTGGACAATGAAGTATCCTTGGGTAGACCTAAATACCAAATGTTCAAGAGATATACACGTCTTCAGAAGCCAACAGGAAGCAATCAGCATGAACTGCAACTAGAAAGGTGTATGACCTCTCTTCTCGTTCTCCTCAAACAAATCACATGCTTAATCAAGTCTCTAGTTTTTTATAGAATTCCAATTCTCTCGCCCACGTTTAACCTTTTTCCTTTGCAGTAATTGAACTTAAATGGACGTTAAATTAAGACTAGTCAAGTTAAAGATATTGTTAAGCTTCCAACGATGCTAGTCCTTGCATTCGTCTCTACAAACACGGATATTATCTGCCAAATAAAGTTGACCATCGTATGACTTCTAAAACTTATCAACTGAAATTGAAATGAAGCACAAAACAAATTACAAACTTACAAATCATAGCCAATCTTGAAAGCAAGAACAACTAATCGTTGATGATCAAGAATCAGTAACCAATCCCGATCCGAGATCTAATCATCGAATTTCACAAACTCAAATATCAAACCAAACAAGTTCTACAGGTTCAAACAATCTCTACGGATTCAATTCAACAGAAAACACACAATATTCGAACAGATCTAACAAAATTTGCATTTCAATCCTCACAATTTCAAACTAAGACATGAGCAACAAGCAGATAGAAATGAGCAACTTAACAGCTAACAATATAGCGCAGCTCAACGATCCATGTTATCGCCGAGGAAAGAAAAATAGCAACCAAGGCAAAAGGGAATAGAATAGGAATTTGATAATGGTTAAAACTCTGAATTATCCTGAGTTTTTCTTTTTTCTCGCGATTCCTTCTTTCTTTCTCGAGAAACAAACAGGAGGATGAAAATTACAAAGAGGAGATAGTTCTCACGTTACGGTGAGACAGTGAGGATGCTTTTTCACTCTGCAATACGAATTCAGACGAATGTTCAAAGTTTGTGTGTCCCTCGCGGTGGATTTAGTGAATCTCGATGAAGGTGACGACGATTCGTGATAGAGTTGAGGGAAGCGACGAGAGACAGAGATATATCAATTTACATACAGACAGTAAAAAGTAAATAAATAAATAAAATAAGTAATTATAAAATATCATACATTTGAATTTACGCAGCGTGAAGATGTTGACCGAATACGCTATTGGGCCTGGATAATTGGGCCCAAACGGGTCTTGGTGGCGCTAGTTGGGCCAATTTTACCCACTGTGCTGAAATTATGAAACGGCATCGTTTCCTAAGTGGTGAAGTCATAAAACGGTGCGGATTTGCCGACCCGATTACAAACCGACACCCTAAACGAATCACCTTTGCGCCTCAGTTTCCTCATCGTCCTCTCTTTGCGCCTCTATATATTGGGTGATAACTGAACTCCGATCTCAACTAGTAAACTATTCTCAATCGAAGACACAGACGTTTCACCATTACCACATATACGTATATAGACACGGACGCCCATATACATTACTGATAATAATTCCGGAGTCTATTTCATCGAAGGGCAAAAGGATTAAAGAAAGGGAAGAGTGAAAGCAAGAATCGATGGGGAAGAGAAAAGAGCGCCGCCTGGCAGCTTTAAATAACGCTGGTCGCCGTGTCAAGCTCGATCTTTTTGTGGAACCCTCTGGTACTCTATCTTTGTTTCTCTATGTCCAACTTATTAGGTTTTCTTTTGTTTGTCTGGTTCTTTATGTATGCAATTTTTCGTCCTCCTATAAATAATTTAAGTGTTGGTTTTGGAATGAATTCCAAAATTGATTTGTTTGAAGTGTAGCGTAAGATAAAATCTTGAGCATATGCTTTTAGTTAACTGATGCTAAAGACCATATAAAATGACTTCGAGTTGGTTGTAACCGTGTTGCTATAGTTTATCCTCCAACGTCAGTCTGATGGATGAATGAGTGTTTCTTGTGTCACAGTTTTGAAATTTGTTGGACAATGACATTGCCATTAGTCATTATTATCTGTAAGTGTGCATGTTCCAATTTTAATCAGGAGTCAATAAAAAATTTTAACCAGTATTTTATATATTTTAATTTGTGTAAATAATTGATCGTTGGTTTATGCCAAAACCTTGCCAATCTTGATTTAATTATGAGTGCTTTGTAAAACCTTCTAGGAGAGTTGGGTGGCTCCATTGTGCATGAAGAAGTTGGAGGGGATCCAAAAGACACTGCTGTGTTACCCAATTCACCATCTTCTTCAGGTGGGTTCCGTCAGTTTTCTTCAAAAGGACTATATAGAGAGGGCATGAGTGCTCGAACATTTTTATCGTGGGAATATGGAACTGTTTGTACAAGGCATATTATCTTGTTTTCAGATTGTAGGGTGGCTGTGGTCTTGGGAACATTTCGTATCAGATCAGATCAGGCCCTACCACAGTGATATTTTGATTGAGTCACTCTCTGTTATGCTCTTTTTGGCAGCATCAAAGCATTTTGGAGATTCCGTCTGGAAAATTTTCCATTGGTTCGTACATCTCTGGCTTATTTGTTCCTTTGTCTCCTCTAACAGTTCTCTTTTTAATGTGTAACAGGTGGTGGTGATTAGTAGCTACTAGAATGCTACTACCAATCTTATAATGTCAATATAATAAACATTTTGGCCTTCTTTTGGCCATATATATATGTATTTTTTTTTTACTTATTTACACCAATACTTTAGTGCTTCTGTTTTGGTTCGGTTCAAATATATTTGTTTTTAGCAAACAAACAGAGGGGTTTAAAGTCTCTGATAGATTGTTTTTTTTTGTCCACCAGGAGAACCGCCGGAGAATCCTTTACTCTTACTTGGGCAATATAGCGATGATGATGTGGATGAGGAATTGGATAAGGGACTTAATCATGCTATTATCACAGAGAGTCCCTCTGTTCTTAACGATGCTCAGGTAACTTATGGTTCTTATAAAGTTCTTGAGAAAAGAAGGTCTAATCACACTGTTTGAAACCAGTTTTGTTGACAACAACAGCTAAGGGCGACCTTTGACTAAACCTTGAGTGTTTTTGTCATGGATGCTGTTGACTGAGTCCAATCTACAAGCTTCAATTTTCACTAACTTTTCTTCACTTTTTGGAAACCATGAAACAGAGTGTTCTTTCTATGGAAAGAATAGCCATGAAGTGTGTGTAGTTCTTTAACTGACTATTGCATTTGGATTAGGTTGAGGAGCTACCTGCTGAAGGATGCAAAGAAATGGATGCTGATATAGATGAAAGCATTGCTGCACAGAAAGTTGGCCAGCAACATATAGAGAGAGATTCTGTTCTGCAGCATGTCTACAGTAGACAGGAAGATGATGATACTAAAGAAACTGATGCTGCTGGGTTAGATGATTCATGTAAAGAAATGCATCATGCACCACAAAATTTTGCTCCTGGAATTTCAGAGGTTCAGATTACTGGAGAGGTCAGTTCAAGCTGGAAGATGGTAATGCATGAGGAGACCAACCAATACTACTATTGGAATACAGAAACCGGGGAAACATCTTGGGAAATACCAGCTTTTTTTGCCCAGTCAACTGAATCGACTCTCGATTGCAAATCTCCTCTAACCAGGAATGTGGAATCTGCATCTGTTGGTACACACAATACTGGTTCAGGTTTAGGAGATGAGCTGGACAACTCTTCAGCTGCACAAAGCAATAGCTTAGTGTGCACCAATTTGATCACTCAAAGCGAAGTGGATGGTAACGGACCCCAGACAGCTGATTTGGCTGGGGAATACAAGACTGAAGCTCTGAAAGATAAAAATTTGGTTCCTAAAGCCAGCAAAATTGAAATTCAGAGTAGCTTGGACACAATTAATGTTGTTTCAAATAACTCTGTAAATGACGATTTGGCTAGTAACAGAGATAAAACAGGGATTGATCTTTCCACTTATCTGGTGACACGAAGTGAGTCCTTGTTGGAGAGATTGAAGTCACTGAAAGGGTAAAGATTTCAGTTTCTTTTCTTTTATTTATTACAAATATTCTTCTTCAACAAAAACTGTAGACTTTCTTTATATGTTAAGTTCCTATTACATGTATGCTACTTCTCTCTTTCAAAAAAAAAAAAAAAGAAAACATGTATGCTATTTCTCTTCCTGATCTGTGAATGTGTGTGTTTTAGGTCTCAGGGCAATTCACAAGCACATGGCTGGCTGTCAAAATACATGTTAGAAGTTGAGATTAGACTTTCTGATTTTACGGCACTCTTATCACATGGGTCATCCTTGCTTCCGTTTTGGGTTCATTCTGAAAAGCAGCTCAAGCGCTTGGAAGAGGCCATTAATGATGAAATTTACCAACTTGCAAAATCTGCTGTTATGGATGAAGTTGAGGAAACTCATATGTCTGCATCAATAGGAAAGCACAAGTCACATGAAAGCACGA